GGCGGGTACGGCGAGGCTTGCGTGCCTGTGGGTGCTCCCGCGCTGCCGCCCGCTGTGGGCACTGCGTCGAGTGTGTTTCTCCGCGAGGGCGTGACGGTACAGTCGGTGTTCGTTGTGCAGACTGGCGCGAGCGAGGTGACGCTGCGCCACGTTGTGCTGGACGGCGTGAGTCCGGTGCTGTACGTGCCGTGGATGGCGCGGGACGGCGTGCGGATCGTTGTGCAGAACGTGTCACTGCTGAACGGTGCCGTGCTGTACGTGATGGGCGGTGGAGCGTTGCGCGGTGCGGGTGCGGCGGGGAGCGACGAGGGCGGGCCGGTGGAGCTGTCGGTGTGCGATGTGGAGGCGCTGAACGGTGCGCTTGTGCTGACCGGCACGTTTCCCGCGGGGTCCGTGCTGACGGTGACGGACTCCCTGCTGGTTGCCGCGAGGCCGACGCCGCTTGTGTATCTTCCCGACTCGCAGTCCTCGCCGTACGCACCGGTGCTGGTGCTGTCGGGCCTGCGGCTCGTGCGGTCCGTGCTGGTTGTGTCTGGCGTTGCCCTCGTGACCGTGATGACTGGTGGGCGGACGGTGGTGGTGGACGGCGCCGTGCTGGAGCTCGTCGGTGGCGGTGTTGCGGTCGACGCGGCTGTGCTCGGTGGCGACGTTGCATTGTACGCGAGTGCGCGCGTGGTTGCGTCGGGGGGCGCTGTGCTGCGCGTGTCTGGGAGCCAGGTGTACGCTGCGCATGGGTTGGTGTTCGACAGCGGGGTGGAGGCCAACGCGTCTGCCGTCGTGGTGAACGACAACGCCGGTGCGCTGACCGATGGCGCGCTGCTGGAGCTGCGGGGGTTGGCGTCGTTTGTGTCCGGGTCGTGGCTGTCGGTGCGCGGCAACAGCATCAGCGGGAGGCTCCTGTCGCTGCCGTCGTACCCGCGCAGTGCGGAACTCGTGCAGGGCACGCTGACGCTCCACGGGAACGCCGGCAGCGGGCCCGTTGTGATGGACGGCACCGTTGCGCTTGGGGGCACCGGCCGAAGGTTCGTTGTGGGGTGCCTCACGCTCAACGGACAGGCGCTGCGGCCGATTGACTACAGGTCCGCCGGCATCATCGGGGAATTCCGCCCCGTGGCGTGTGGCGTGTGCGACGCCGACGTGCACTGCTTTGCAGCTGCGACGAGGACGATGTCGGGGTCGTGCCGCTGCCGCTGTGCTGAGGGCGGGTACGGGCGCGACTGCCTGCCGGTGTACCTGCCGCACGTGGACGGGTGCAACCGCACGCCCGCTATGCCGCCGCAGAGCCACACGGCGACGCTGACGGAGACGCGCAGCCTGACGCCGACGCCGACGCCGAGTCAGAGCGCGGCGCACTACAGTCCGACGCAGTACGGGCCGACGGAGACGCTGCAGGTGACGGAGACGGTGGCGCTGCCGCCCACGCGGACCCCGACGGCGTCGGTGAGCAGCACGCTGTGGTGGAGCGACGTGGCGTGCCCGACGCTTGCCGTGACGACGACAGCGGCTGGTGGGAGCCTGACGCAGAACGACATCCGCGGCGGTGGGAGCGCCGTCCCGACGCGGCTGATGGTGGCGCTGCCGCCGCCGTTTCGTTGGGCAAGCGACCCGCAGCTCGGCACGCACCTGAGCTTTGTGCCGGTGTCGACGGCGCAGCCGAGCGGCTTCGGTGGTCCGTGGGGAGCGATGCTGCGCAACGCGACGTGGGTGCGCAACGTGACGAATCCGTCTACCGTTCTGGAGCTGGCTGTGCCCGTGCACCGCGGTTACTTCATTGGTGCCGACGAGACGATAGTCATTCGCTGCGACGCTGTGGCAGTGTCCGGCGGCTGCAAGGGTGTGCTGCTTGGGTCCTTCACGATCAGGTCGAACACGCTGCCCGCCGCTGCCAGCGCTCTCTCTGCGATCACCGGTGTTGTTGCGGGTGCGGCGGCTGTTGCCGTGGTGGTGACCGGCGGGCTGGGCTCCATCCTGGAGATGCAGGCGCTCGGCGTGTTCGCGAGGATGTCATGCGCCTCGGCGCAGGAGCGTGCGAGCACCGTTGCGCTGCCGTACTTCCTGTCGGTGTTCGCTGCCCTTGACCCGCTGTGGATGGTGGTGGGCAACGCGCTGCTTGCCGCTGTGTTCGGGGGCGTGCACTGCGGTGTGACGGCGGCCTTCCAGCGGTGGCACGGCGTGGACGCGGCGAGTGCGTGGGCTGCGATGCGCTTCCCGAGCCTGACGTACGTCGTGGCGCACGCGATGCATCTCGGCATCTTCTTCGGCTCTGTGCTTGCACTTGCGATGCCCGGCGCCCGCGTTCAGCACCGCGTGGTTGGTGTCGTTGGCGTGCTGTACGGTGTGGCGTTCCCTGCTGGTGTGTGCTACTTCATTGCGCGTCACACGGGCGCGAGCTTCACGAGGTACTGGCAGTTTTCGAGGAAGCCGCTGCACGAGCGCCTGCTGTACCCCGTCGGGTATTGGCACCCCGCGGCGCAGCGGCGGATGTACGGCGGCATGCTGACGAACATGAGGGGCAGCCACTTGTACTGGTGCGTGTTTCAGCTGTCGGTGCTGTGTGTGGTGGGCCTGATTGCGGCTGTGCACCCGCCCGTGGGAGGCTGCCACGTCCAGTACTTCTGCATGGCGGCTGTGCTGCTTGCGGGCGCGGGCGTGGTTGCCTTCACGAACATGATGCGCTCGGCCTTCCTGACGGTGATGCGCATCGCGAGCTTTGTGTTCCTTGCGGCGCTGTGCGTGGTCAGCGCGGCCAACCACCTTGCGCCGAGCGACGGTGGTGCAAGGGCGTACGCGGCTATCGTGCTGCTTCTGACGACTGTGCTGCTTGCGGTCACTGTGTACAGTGTCGTTTTGTGGTACGCGGAGGACCGCCACTGGCAGGAGCTGCGCGAGCCGCGGCGTGGCGGGCTGGAGGCGCTGCTGCGCGATGACGAGGAGAGTGACGACGAGGCGCGGAAGCCCCACGACATGGCGTCATCGTCGTACGCCTCAGACACCACCGGCGCGTCGTCGTACCGACCACCCGCACCGCCGTTGCAGCCTATGGCCGGCGACACCCGCTCGGACGCACACAGCCTGCTCGACCGTGCATCGGGTGCGAGCTGCAAGAGTGATCGCACCCTCCTGTGACGTGCAACACGTAGAACTGGCAGGCGTGCGGTGCTGGTTGATGGGGGAGGGCCACGGATGTGCTGCGCACCACAGCCAGCCATCGTTAGCCGCACCGACAGTGTTGTTGGTCGTTGTTTCTATCGATTTGTTTTTATTTTGAGCGGGTGCTTTCAGGATTTGCTCCCGTTCCACGATGATTGTGTGGAAGGGGATTGAGTTGTCGCTCTTGTTACTGCTGGTGTTGTGTTTTATCGGACTGTAATTTCATGGAGTTGCGTGCGAGGAATTCAACGCCCATTTTGTGCAATGGAAAAGGGTACAGTGAACCGCCTATTGGAAGTAATGAATTGCAGCCCTGCCTTACCGTGGGTTTCCATGCAGGAGGCATTACAGCTTTCAGAAGCAAAGCGGCGACAGAGTATGAGCAGGGCTCCATGTTTCCAGGAACGCCTTCGAGCGGGATTATGTATTGAGGCGCGACGTATTGCTGTGATTTCGGGCTGCCATGGCGTGGCGAGTGCACAGGGTGATCGATGTCTCTTTAGCGGTGGAAGTGACGGACCAAGCCATCCCAGTCAGTTTCCACAATAATCTTCAAGCGCACCGCCGCCATGGCTGGATCCCTCGGGTGTGCACGTGGAACGTGGGAGCCTTGGATGCTGCGGCATTGGGATTTGTTGCCCGTTACGGCCCGCACTTTTGTGTGTGCAGGAGGTGTGACAGCCACTTCCGGCTATTAGCACATCCCTTCACGGCGCTGCCTTTGATTCAATTGGCACATCCCATTCCACAGGCAAGGGATATCGTCGCGGATTGGCCACGCTGGTACGGGGATGCCCACACGAGGAATTCCTTCTTTTCCCCAATTTCCCTCCGGCCGTGCGAAGTTCATGCACCACAGCAGATGCAAAGGGATGTGGTGTTAGCATGGAGGGTACGATATTTACCGAGACTTTTTCCACGGCAGCGTGCGTTTATGCACCTTCTCGTCGAACCGTGGAAGCACGCGAGCACACGTCGACGGTTCTGGATCACCTGTTGACTCACATTGTGGACGTACCCTTTTGTCTCGCCCGCAGCGCCGAGGAGCGTGCACACGGATACAGCTTGTCCTTGGCCACTGCGGCGTGTCCAGGAACGAAGCTTGTGATGCATAATCCAAGAAGGCGTCCGACCTCTCACAGCTCACAGGCACATGGAGCACCGGCATCGTCGCATTGGCCGAACGTACTATTCGTGCCCGACGGCTCAGGGCCGAAACTCGCCGCCCCACTGCAGCAGGCGACTGGGAACCCACGCGCACGGAAACCACCCTCACTCGTGGGGAAGAGGCCGCAGCAGCCTGCTCCCGCACCGGTGTTTCTCACGAATACGGATGGCTGCTACGACCACCGCAGCCCGCCATCCCGCGCAAATGCCGTTGGTGCGGCGCGGATGCCGCACAGCAGACACGCAAAGAATTTCGCACGGAAATGCCTCCTCCTCCTGCTGGACTCCACGCCACGATCCGACGCCCGGCAGGCTATCCGGTGTGCGGCAAGCACTGCAGCTGCCACACTAGTGTCGTGACGCAAATGGTTAACGCCTATGGCATTACGCGCTCCCAGGCGCTGCGGGAATTCGACTTTCTCGGTGAGTCGGAACCGCCAGAAATCCCGCCGGAATTACCGCCCAGCGCTTGAGCGAGGAAAAGAGCGAGAGACGGCACACCGATCGCAACTCCGCCACAGACTGCACAGCCCAGTCCGAAGCCACCCCATGCAGCTTCCGCACGGCGTCGTACGAAAGGCAA